TGTTGTAGTCTTTTTTTGACCATAAAGTTTCGAGTACACTAAGGAGTCAACATAAAATGACCTTTGATTCTAGGCATTTATAGAGTACCACTACAGACTCTTGTAAATAAAGATTCTAGGCAATATCACATATGTGCAAACTTAACATAGCTGCTCTACATGTTACATGGACTAATTGACCTAAAAATAACACTAGATCCCTAACATTTGATTTTTTTATTGCTTGAAAAAGACTTCAAATTATTTGTCATCTCTACTTTGATGCTTACCAGTAACTCCAATATTCATGAATATTCATAATGTCCTGCAAACTAAATTATGAGAAGTAATTTTATGCAAAATGCTTCATAAATATTCATGATATTCTGCATACTAAATTAGCCAAGAGCACTTTATGCAAAATGCTTATTACGCATATTCATAGCACTACCGGTAATTTGCATACTGTGGAATACTTTATTTTCGCTGGAATTAATTTTCGCTGAAAAGACTTTTTGGGCGTTTTTTATGGAATTCATTTTCACTGATTTTTGATGAGTTGAATGTGAAATATAGGAAAAAAAGTATATTCGCTGGATTTTATTTTCACGGAATCATCCCTTCAGCGAAAATAGCGAAAATAAAGTATTCTACAGTATCTATCAAAGCATGATAAACACAAAATTATATAATTACATAATGAATATTTACAACTAATTAATGATAAAAAAAAAAACTAAATACAAAAATAACAGCATTTGTGAAATATATTTACATCGATATGCGGCACATTACACTGTATCGCTAAAGGCAAGGCACACTGTAAAAATCAGGCACACGGAAAAACTAACTCAAAATGCTGTATTTTCAGAATTAAAAACATAAATATTGGTGGGGGGTAATAAAAGTAGGAATGTTGTGAAAGATACCAAAACTATGAATTAAAATTACTATTTTTGCCTCAGAAGCATGGATGTGCTACCATTTTGAGAAACTGAAATCAACGCAACTGATTGTAGTGGTCGGTTGTTCAGTAACCATGTACAAATTTGGGCAATTCTGGTAACCATGTTTGTACAAGAGAAAAGTACAGCATTTGTGCCAGCCGCCATATTAGTCACAAATTGAGGGTGTGGCTTATAAGAAGATACAACATTTAGACACACGGTCCCTTACATCAAATTTTTAGTATAAGGCACTCTTACGTTTTCAAGCTCAAACAGGGAAAATGAAACATGGGTTTTATGATAGTCTGGATCAAATTTGTAATCGCACAATGAATACTGGCCATAAGTGCATATACATTTCACACAAAAAAATAGTCTTTTCAAGAAAATAGTTGATAATTGTAAAAGGTAGACAAGAAATTATAATTTTTACTAATTTATATTAAGATTCTTATTACATTTTGTAAAAAATATTCATTTTATTTACACTTATTGGTTCTATACCCCAAAAATTTGAAATAACCTGTGTCTGCTCACAGGAATAGGTTAAATCATTTACTGGCATGGGGACAGAAGCATTATAATCATGGGACCTTAATTCTGGTCTCTCAGATAATGATTACAACTTGAACTTTGAACCCCAAATTTGATTAGACTTTTTTTTGAATCGTTGGATGGCACAATTTTCTTTGATAAAATTTTGGGGTGAAATTTTACACACTTTTATGTGTTTTTGTTGTTTTGTTTTTTTCTATAATTTCTTTGATAAATTTTGTCCTGTGATCAAAAACTTAAAAAAAAAAAAAAAAAAAAAATGAAAAAAACACCATAATGCAGAAATTACATTATAATAAATTGCTCAAATTTACTGTTTCTGGTATCACCTAGGTTTGAAATTAAGTCTCAACAATTTTAAACCAAAAACTGCATCCATCCAAAATTCATGGGTGATCGCTTGTTAATAATACTGACAATTGCGTATCTTAATCTTTTCATCAACAGACGTTCTCACTTAATTTGTCTACATTTTTTTCTTATATTCTTCAATATTTCGGGAAATGAACCCTAATTTTGGAGCAACTGACAACATTTTAATAATTTTCAGTTTTCTCTGAAAAAACTTGGCTATTTTAGTCCCAATCTTCTGAAGGAAAGTACAGACTATAAATGGGACTACTTTGTGAATTTGTGATAAAAGGAAGGAACTGTCAATCTAATATATCTAGTAAACAGATTTCCAAAGAAACAATACAACTTGCATCAGTTTTTCATCCAAAACTGGCCATTTTCGTAATTCCATGTCACCAAACTTATCAGCTCAGTATCGGTCAGGGGTAGGAACAAACTACCAATTTAATCAAAGTCGATGATTTTGCCTCCTCCATCACATGACATCTTTAATGAACTGTAATTGGCAATTAAGTTTTGTCACATAGACATCACTACTTTTTAGAGAGATGAAAAACTGTTGCATTTTACATTGTAATTAAAAAATGTATGTACAGTGTGCAATACTTTAAAAAGTAATTTAAATTTGTATCAATGCCCAACAAATCACGTCCAAGTTAAATACAGAAACAAAAATTACATCAACCAGTCTCAATCACAATATCAAGAAATAAAAAGTTACTAAATATTTCTGTAAATTATCAAAAAAAATAAAATACAACTTGAAAAAAAAAAAAAAACTGGGATACTTAAATATTTTCCTTACATGTAGATATACTATTATCGAAGAGCGAAAAAAGGGCATCACAGAGGAAGAAAATCATCATATTGAAGAAACAAAAAGATGGAAAACCAGTCAAAAAAGGTGACATGACATAAAGTACCGGTAATAAAATTTAAAGATGAATGACAGCAGGAAAAAAATGTAACTGTAATACATTCAAGTAAGTATATGGGCTTGCTGATACAGCTATCACCCCTATAGTAGTTACCATAGTGGTAAAACCTTTTGTATATCAGCTGGCACATTCCATTCTTCGTTTTTTTACAGGGTTGTCAGCTATACAGAACAACAACTAACAATGTGTAGACCACTCAAAATATTGTGATATGACAATCTTTGTTGAAAACAAAAAACAAACAAGTTTATAAAAGTATTACAAAAAAACAACTCTCCTTTCTAAAATATTAAAAGCTTAGTATAATGCCCATTTAATTCACCGTAAATTAACGCCATCTTCCATCATGAGGTGCTACATCATTGTAGTTGTAAGGTATGGCGCCCTCTATAGTTGGAAAATAAAAATATTTCCATCTTTTAACCATCTGCATACTAATTTTAAGTAAGTAAACTGCTCATATTTGAGAGCTTGAAAAACAAAGTGTAGTATTCAACATTTTAAAAAAAATGCAATGGAAAAACAAATTCCTAGAAGGTTTCATAATACTGTAGAATACTTTATTTTTCACTTGGAATTTATTTTCGCTATTTTCGCTGAAGGGATGATTCCCTGAAAATAAAATCCAGCGAATATACTTTTTTTTCTAAATTTCACATTAAACTCATCAAATATCAGTGAAAATAAATTCCATACAAAACACCCAATAAGCCTTTTCAGCGAAAATTAATTCCAGCGAAAATAAAGTATTCCACAGTACACCAGGCTTATTTACCATTGCAGCCCTCTCCATGTTGCCCAAAATAAACAAATGTTCATCCTTTTTACAAAAATATCTACACATATTACTTGATTTCAATGACGTTAGTTTCACGTGACACCACAAAGTCATGAATAATTTTGCGGAAAACAAAGTTAAATATCACCGCAATCGTCGTCGTCCCACTCGTAGTTCAATATGGGTCCCAAGTAGCGTGTATATAGGTTGTTTGAACAGTATTTGAATGAACGCGGCACATTGACTGTGTTGCTTTCACGAAGAGAATTAACTAGCCTAATGAGTATAAAAAACAAAAAACATTTTCTGTTCTTCGCAAAACATTGTGTGAAAATTTTACAAACACAAAAATATTTTGGGAACATTTCCACGATTAATAAAATGTGCTGATACACAATGATGATGGCCAATTATGACAAAGTAGGCCTGGGTAACTCAACGCCATATTCCCTTCTAAAATATTGAAATTTCAATATTGAGCTATAAAAAACAAAATTCAAGTTAAAATTAAATCATTTCATCTTTGCAACAGACGTTCAGTTCTCTCCTTTCATGCAAAACTGTGCAGTGAACAGAAAATTACCTATTTTCCAAGGCAATTACATTTCACCTAATTAAGTTTAGTTTTTGGTATTAAGCGCAGACTGCAGATGTTCACTGTTTTTCATCTGCTGTTTTTTATACATAAACCATCAATAACAGTAAATTAATGCAACTGTGATGAATGACAGAATGTGGAAATATCAAATATAGAAAAAAGAAAAGCACATTTGGTATGTGTCATTTACTCTTACTTGTATACTTGTTGAATTTTCATCATGATTTAAATGTTTTTAACTTTAAAAATGGAAAAAAAAAATGCTTAGTGTAATTCCAGGGCATACCCCGGTAAAACTTGGGGACTTTGAGATTATTAATGTGATCATCATCTCCATTAACCTTGCTCAAAACTCTTGCAGTATAATATAAACCTAGAATTTCTTTCCTTCAAAAGAGTGCAAGGGAGTGAGTTGATGAAATCATAATGGAATATACAGTTTTATATTATTATATGCACCACGTAGGTGGCAAAAACAAAACATACTGTAGAATACTTTATTTTTAGCTGGAATTAATTTTCGCTGAAAAGAATTTTTGGGTGTTTTGTATGGAATTTTGACAAGTTGAATGTAAAATATAGGAAAAAAGGTATATTCGCTGAATTTTATTTTCACTAAATCATTCCTTCAGCGAAAATAGCGAAAATTAATACCAAGCAAAAATAAAGTTATTTACAGTACCTAATATATGAAATCAATATACAGTCAAACCTGAGTTAGTGAACACCTCTATATAATGAAAACCTGTCTATAGTGACCACTTTGAGAAATTCCTTTTAAAGGCTTTTTTTTTAACAAATTTTTTCACATTACTGTGGAATACTTTATTTTTGCTGGAATTAATTTGGAATTAAACAAATCTTTCTTCAGTTGTTGTTCCTGCAAGGTGTGCGAGCTGGACTGATGCCGAGGGACTTGGTCTTGGTTCCTTTACTGCCTGACTTTCATTACTCTGCACGAGAGTCGTCGTAGTCATGGGTGTCTGTCGCTGCAGTGGTGGAGGCTGATGCGGTGGAGTCAGATTCATTGGTTTAGACTTCTCTTCATTATGGGACATATTTTCCAGAACGGGGGCACCAACGGGAGCTGAGCGGACAAGAGTTGACGGCGACATTACATTCATAGGGACTGCATGATTTGCATTGATGGGTGCTGTTGTTACAATGTTTCTATTTTCAATTGTGAAATTGTTGTTTGACGTTGATGTTATCACAGCACTGGACGTCGGCAAAGCAGCTGTCGTTATCATAGCAAGATTCTGTGGCATGGTCATCGTAGATGATATATTCTGTAGCGACACAACGTTAGAGATCTGCGGCCCATTCATCAGAGGAACTGAACTGGGGATGATAATAGAATTATGGGTCCCTGTAGAGAACGGGATACTAGCCGAGCCAGAGGAAAGATCTTTTGGGAGACGAATTTCATTCTGTGGCAGAGGAATGCCTGCTTGGTTTGCCAGTGCCTCTTCTTTTTCCTGCAGTTTGTGTAACTTCTGGTGTGTTTGAAGATGAGAAATTTCAGTGAAAACTTGCCCACACTTTTCACACTGGTAGAAGATAGCCCCTGCATTGTTAGCCAACATCAGTTCCATTGGTTTGTGCTTCTCTTTGAAATGGCTTGATTCATGAACTTCGCAGTGCTTACCATGCACAAACTGCCTCGAACAGAATCGGCACTTATGAGGTAGTTCCCCAGTGTGACATCTTTGATGGACTCGTAAACTTTCAACTGTTGAGAAAGATTTGTCGCAGTTTTCACATTCAAACGGCCGAGTATTCGGGTGTGCTTTAGACATATGCAGGAGCAACTCATTGCGCCGATGAAACTCAAACCTGCAGACCTCGCAAGGGTAATTCTTAGGAAGGGAGTGAATGAGACGATGCTCTGTCAACTCAGCGAGTGCCTTAAAAGACATTCCACATGTATCACACGGATAACGACGCTCACCATGCCGTTGAACATGAGCATCCAACGTTTCTTTGTTCAAGTAACGTCGCCGACAAATAGAGCATTCAAAAGACTTCACTTCTTTATGGTGAGTCATATGGACATTGCGATGAGAGCTAGTAGCGAAAGTCTTGTCGCAGTACTTGCATCGGTAAGGTTTGTCGCTTTCATTTAGGTGTATTCGACGGTGCACGTCAAGTGTGTAGGGATTTGCGAATGCACGTCCACAGGTTTCACACTGATGAGGTCGGTAATTGTCGTGATTCATCTACAGAAAATAATATATAAAATATGACCAAATCATAGTATCGCAATATCATCAAATCACAATATCTTTCAAGTCATACTACCATTAAAGTACACTAGACTATTTCCTAATCACAAAATCATCAAGAACACAAGCAAAAATGATCTGAGATGAACATTTTGCATGAGAATATGTAACAATCTAGAATTTTGTGTTTATCTTGCAATTTCCATGACTATTCAAATACATCTTATAAATCCTTGCAGACTATATTGGAATTATAAAGAAAATTACATTCATAATTTGTTTAAAACTTTCCCCAGAGAAACTTAAATTGAATTACAACTGACAAAAAAAAAGTGCAAGTAAAGATTGAATTCTTGCAACCACCTGCTCCCAATTTGTTTAAAAGAATCTGAAAAAATAACAGTGCCCCCTATTGGCTTATACCTAAATGAGCAACTCAGACTAACCAATCAGATACAATGACACTCAACACTTATACTCACCTTATGATACTTCAATGATTCATTCTTTGCATACACTTTCCCACATATCTCGCATCGAAATCTTCTTTTCTTGGGATCATCTGTGTTATCTGCTTTTCCATGGCTGCTATCAGTTGAGTCTTTACTTTCGCCACTGTCGTCTTGAATCGCTTGGTTTTTGTCATTTTCATTAGAGGAGGGCATTTCTTCTTCGATTGATGAGTTTTCTCCTGTATCTATGTATAGCCTATTATCGTCTTCGTCGTCTTCAGCAGCTGAGGCTCCACCAGTGGAATTGTGACGTACAGTGTTCACCTGATCGGAGTCCACTTGCTTTTCAACTACATCAACAGGTTCATGCTTGATATTAGCAACAATATTGGCAATGCTATCTCTCTTTTTTGTAGTTTCATTTCTTTGATCTGCCTGGTTACCATTCTGGCCGGGCGATGATTCGGCAGGGACAATTTGGCTTTTATGCTTTCCAATATTCTCTTTTTTAATGAGAGGAGGAAGAGGTGGTCTAACCATATGCAAAGGCAAGGCATCTCTTGTAGCAGGCTGTGGATGTCGGTTATTCTGAACTAAAAGCTCGCGTACTGTCTGATTCTGTTGTTGTAGATGTTCATGCTGCTGTTGAGCTAAAGCAGCTTGCTGTAGTGAGAAAGCCCTTTCAATTCGTATTTCGGACTGTTCTTGATTCTGGGAATTTAGCAATAATGGGTTGGGTCTTGGTGGTGGGAACTGGTGCTGCTGTGGGTTGAATTGGTCTCGTGGAATTCCTGGTGGCTGGCCAACGATAACTGGTTGCATCATCATATTATTTCCTATCATGGTATTGAGTCCATGTGTATTCATCTGTCCAAGGTTTGGTAATGGTTGTGCTTGTTGATAAACCATTTCACTATTTGGTACATGAATTGGCAAATTCTGACCCGTCTTCAGCCTTTTTGATGGATGCTGCAGCAGTAAATCTTTGACGCTTATTGTATGGCAATGTGCAGAACGCTTGTTAGGGGATGTAACAGTGGCACTAGGTGACTGTTCTGACTGTACTCGACTTGTAGCATTTGCTGGCAAAACATTCTGCCCCTGAGACTTGGCGGTCAAATCCAACGCAGCAGCGAACGCCTGCTTGGCTAATTCCTCTGCTTGGGCAGCATTTGAATCACTAGCAACATTGGCAGACATCCGTAATGCCTGTGCCTGCGCAAGAACCGCATTATGATCGGCTGAATGCTGGTTATTTTGTCCTTGAGCTTTTTGCCTTAACAAGGTTACAGCGAGATTGGCAAGTGGTATAAGATAGTTCTTAATTTCTTGTATGTGGCTGGGATTTGCTTGATCATCAGTTTCTCTTCTTTCAATATGTAATTGCTGATCACCTGCTAAGTTGAGAGGGCCATTTGAAACAGTTTCGTGGACTTGCTCTGCATCAAAACTATTATTTCTCTGTGTACTAAACTGAGCTGATGCTTCATTAGAAGTTTGTAGATTCATTGGCGATGTACTATATTTTGAGTCATTCTCGAGGTTTGGTTTGTTCAACCCAGAGGCACCATGGCTATTAAAATTGAAGGATTGACGTAAAGTTCTGACATTTCTCTGATTGTCCGGACTAATAGTCATTGAGGCTGGAATTTTTTGCTCAAGTGGAGATGAGAGTTTCTCAGAAGACGATGGTGGTGGTTCAGGCTCGATGTGTATTGGATTAAAATTGCTGCCATTTCGTCTGAGTGCCGTGTGGGTATCGTAATCAAGTGAGTCTCCTATATGAAACAAAAAAGACAAAAAGACATTATTTTTTCTTATAAATATATACAGAACCACTTTTGTGCAATCTGTCATTGCTTTTGTATTAGCATCAGTTATTTATTGTATTTTCAACGAATTAAGATTCGCATATTTATCATATTTATGTTCCATATAAATCACATTCGCGTTGCAAATTGATTGCCTCCATGAAGCATATTAATTGCATTTATATGACATATAGCTTGCATATTATTTTGGTATTTATCATTTTCCATCACAATATTTGTGTCAAACATTTTAATGTGGGAAGGTTGTCACCCGCACACGCATGGGAATTGAGTCCCTGGTGACGATAACAACACAAGCTAAAAACGCAAAGGCTCATGGGTAGACACTTGTTTGTAAACAATGACACGCTATGGCCATCTGACGCATGCGCAGATGACGACTTCCCCCGTTTTAACCGCCACAGTGGTGATCTAAACTTACTCCAGGAAAACACAAACGCAAATGATTTAAACCTTGTACTAACATATACTCGTTGGTAGTTTGGTAAATGTCACCAGTATATTAGGGGTGATCTCATATTCAAACACCTGGGTCAAACCTGGGTTAACCTGGGTTGACCCGGCCTGCCCTATTCAGACCTACTAGACCTACAATATGCAAATTAGTAGTAGGTTTGAACCAAACCTCCCGATTAACTGCCCATTAACGCCCCCACTGAAAACAAACAACAGAGAACAAAGAAGACAAACCTAGGGAAACCTAGGTTTTTCTTACATTACTGTTTCAGCCTGGTTTCAGTAGGAAAAAAAATAAGATGTATACTATGGAGCTCCATGTTCATACTGAGTGTTATATTTTGAAGTGTTAAGAATTACAGCAGCGATTTTTATTCTTTGCAAGTCTTGTACATGTAAATGCTAATAAAAACAAACTTGCATTTGTTTCACAAATCTATTTACATCATGTCATCATGAGTGTGATGAAAATTATATTCATTTATTTCTGTGATTGGTAATAATAATCAGTTTCCCACAACTTACATTTTGGTACAAGTCAATACAATTGTTATTGTTTTTCAATTTATCTGGAATTAATTACAGACGTGATGGTTTGTTATATTTTGTCATTAAATGTGAATCAAGTGATACCATAAACCCTCTCTATTGTGATATATATGGTAAATTAATGTTTAAAACAGAACAGGGAAAAATGCACTAGAATTTTAATGAGCAGCTTCTTAGGATAAATTACTTACGTTATATATATATTTGGCATAGTCAGTAAAATATGTTTATTGGAGCAAACTGGTACATTTTGTTCGCAACAAGTACGGTCAGTTTTGTGTCCATGTCAGTTCATAAATTCATAGAACACATTTTTTGATTAAGTTTGTAAAGTCTGTGAGACTGCGAGTTATCAAAATATGATGAAAGTATTAAATCGATAATGGCAACATTGTTTTCTACGAAGGCATCTGAAAACCACAGTCCCTCTATCACTGTGTCAAAACTAAAGTCTGGGCTAATGCTACGAATCTGGCGCTACAACCACCGTAACATTGTCAGCTGACGGCATTGCGGGGAAAATACGGGTATTTACCGCTGCCGATATCTTACTTTTCTGTGACAAAATGCACACATTTCGAACCCCCGGTTAATTAAAATTGAACGAATATTTTAGAAAATACATCGAAGCACAGTGCCTTGAGGGACTGTGGGCGAAGAAGGCAGCGAGGTGGTGTTTTAAATTCCGCAGAAAATCATGCACTCAATCAGAATTTCCCCTTGTCTCACAGCATGAATCGATTGCTATAACGCAATGTGCACTGTGTCGCCTTGGGCGACGGTCTTAGGTACAAGGCACTCTATGAATAAGGTATTTTCAGAGGTCAGGGTTCGTTTTTTATAAGCAGTCTCGTCTGCAGATGAATAGCCGTAAATAATCAGCGCGAGTCCATTTAATTTAATTTTCTGTTTTGATACTTAGTGTCACTAGGAATTGAATAAGAAAAACTGCAAATAACCGATGTGCAGCAAATCGAAATAAATTTTCATTGCGTACGCTGCATTTGTTTTTCCGGATTTTGCGATGCCGCACTTCTGAAAGAACTGTTTGAAAATTGAACGCGCAACAGTAGTAAAGGCTTGAACACAGTAGCGCAAGTCCCAAGTGCAACTTTGTATCAACAAATGTTCGTCTTTTGATACTTATTAGCTGTCAGAGACACATATCAATTGTCCAGCCCAATGAAAAGTCTGATTCACGTCCTCTGCTTAATTTGCGACTCAAGCATAACTGTTTATCTAAACAAAACAATTTATTCAGCACGCTGTTCACCGATATATAAAACAGTGTTTTTTAGGCAAGGCACACAGTAAAATGACTACTGTACACCAATAAATCGACACATTTTAGAGACAACTATCTAGTCTTCAAAAAGCAATGTAAACTCTGTCAATCCTAAAAATAAACATTAGCTTGAATGAGGTGTGAATGAGATCGGTTCGAACTGCAGTTTTTATGCAAATTCATGCGGTCGTCCTGAACCGCACTGTCTATTGTTTAAACTTCCAAACCGCAAAACTGGGTTTTGTTCGGGCGGTTTAGGGCGGTTAGGGTTTTTCTAGGTTTGACCCGCATGTTTGAACATGAGATCACCCCTTATATTATTATATAGTGCTGTGTAAGACAACCTACCTTGGAGGATATTATCAAAAACAAATGAATCCTGCTTCTGTTTACAACTCAAATCCAAAGCCTCTTCTTGATGCTCCGATTCCAGTGGAAGTCCTGTCGTCCCAGATATAGCCAAATCGTCCACGTCTGCCTTCAGGCCTTCTTCATAGTACTGGCGTACGAAAAACTCAGTTCCATAAAAATGTGAGATACTGGCCTCGTCAATGACTTTGATGAAGACATCACAGCCTGTCAATGTTGCCAATGTGTGCCCCTAACAACAAAACAGAGAATACATAACAATAACTTACAATACAGCTAAATTTTGTTTGTATCACCAGCTCTGTTATATATACATATATACAAATATACAAATATACGCAGCACATATAGGCAACTCAAAAAAGACGCCTCCTTTGAAAAATATCTGGCAGTTGTAAAAAATCCATACCACAGATCAGCCATGACAAAACTCAGAATTAGTGCACACACTCTTAAGATTGGGACCGGAAGGCATCAAAATATAAACGTAGCAGAATAGAAATGCCCAGTTTGCAACACTCAACAAATTGTAGATTAAGAACATTTCCTTCTTCAATGCCCATGCTACAATAACATCAGAAATGATTTTTTCCCAAAAAAATGGCAACGCAAACATTGATCAGTGTTTTACCTTGAGAGAAGAAAACATGGAACTTACCACACTAGCTGCCTCATAATATTTACATTATACATATTTATTTCTGATACTAGTAGTGATTTTATTTTTTTTTCTTTCTATTATTAATTAAGTTATTCTTAATTACAGTTTTAATTGTTTTAATACCCTAAAGAGGGTACAATGTCAATAAAGTTTACTATTACTTTTTACATCTTTGTACACAAGTAGTGAGATATACATTTCCAAAACGTGTTATGCATTCTATCTTGTGTCTATCAAACTATTTTTTTTAAAACTATTTTTGTGTCAGATGATAATTCCGGACAACAGGTACCTTTGTACATGTACCACTGACACTGTTGTTTCTCCATCTTAAGCAGCCAGATTAATTAGTGATTGAAGGACCACTATACATATTGACAGATTCTATTCAGTGATTATGTATGTATAGGCGTGTGCCATCTTTGGGAATTCTACATTCCAGCTTTTTGTATTTCACTTGACAGGCTAGGATAACTATAAATACTGCCGGGTACCAACTAGGTTTTGTGAAACACTAGCAATTTTGGTTTCCCAATGTCAGGGGCACACTCCACCAGCATATAGTGTGTTGCCTCCCAATTGAGTCAGTGACACACTTGACAAGATTAAGGTATATAAAATTGCCTCTCTACTTTGGCACACACAGGGCACAGTGTTATTGGTCTAGCTATTGCACACACACATAACCCGGGGTACAGTGGATTTCAGCTACCCATTGAGTCAGTGACACACTCACCAAAAATACAGTTGCATGGTCAACCCATTGAACGAGACACTCAGCCAGGGTACAGTCACAATGGCCTTCCCATTGAGTATGTGGCACACTCAGCCAGGGTACAGTGGCTTTGGTCCACGCATTGAGTCTGTGACACCCTGACTCATGGTAAAGTGGCTTTAGCCTTCCCATTGAGTCTGTGACACCTTTACTCATGGTACAGTGGCTTTGGCCTTCCCATTGAGTCTGTGACACCCTGACTCATGGTAAAGTGGCTTTGGCCTTCCCAAGGAGTCTGTGACACCCTGACTCATAGTACAGTGGCTTTAGCCTTCCCATTGAGTCTGTGACACCCTGACTCATGAGGTATGTAAGGGTGCATAAATATGCCAGTTGCGAGTGGTGAGTTGCGAGTAGCAAGTAGCAAAATGTGTCAGTTGCGAGCGCTCGAAAGTGGCAGTTGCGAGCGCTCGAAAGTGGCAGTTTCTAGCGCTCGAAAATGGCAGTTGCGAGCGCTAAAAATAGCAGTTGCTAGTGGCGATTTGTATGTAGTTGTGAGTGCTAGCTACATCGGCATTGTGTGAAATAAAATTAAGTCCGATGTCCTACCCACTTGTTTTCAAG